AGCATACCAATTTATACACTACCACAGCTAAATTAAAGAAATAAGAAAATACTGGTAAAATATTTAAAAACATACAAGTAACAGGGTAAATACATAATTTGATAAATAAGCACTGAATTGTTACAAAAATTATTTTTTTATCTAGATCTTCAATTTCATGTAATCAAATATTACTAAATTTCAAATACTTTTCATAATATTTAATTTCAAAGAAATCCAATGCACATAAAAATTAGTCCAAAACATTTCAATAAATACCAAAAAAATTATGTTTCTTTTTTAACCCAATATCTCTCTGGCACTGAATATCTTTTATGAACTTGTTCATCTTTACATCTGGACAAAACAATTTATAGTTTTTAGGGAAAATTGAAAATATGTACTGACTGAATAGTGAACAGTGCAGACCATGATAATCAAATGACTGACTGATCATGTTCTGCACTGGTGCTATGGATAAAATATGTTGCCGCCAGCAAGCAAGCGGTTTAAAGTGTCCATAAAACATTCTGCTGGAACACTACTATTTATCAATGACAGAATTTCTGTCTAGAAGAAAAAATGATGCACTATCAAGTTAGTAGCCACTAAAATATGAGTACACAAAATAAAAACTTGAGACTGAGAATGAAACACCTGACTTCATTTTGATTCTAGGAATAGACTAGAAGAGGTAAAAACACATGATATATGGTTTGACCATAAAGAGTGACTGTCTGATGATTTATGGAAAACGGCGATGTCAAAAAAAACTATTTTCATTTTCTTGGCAAAAATCAAGTGACATTCTGAGACAATGCAAAAAGTTTTAATTCGAATCCTTAATGTAAAGTAAGTCAAAAGTGAAATATTATCAAGCAAAATAAAATGAAAGAGTTGGTTTCCATAGCAACTTGTCACATGATCAAGGTCCAAGTTGAATGGAAGCTTAATACTGAACATAGAGGAAATAAATCTTCTACAAACAATGGATGGACTCTTATTTCCCAGTCATTAGATATAAGAAAAAAAATGTTCAGTCATTTTTAATATATATAAGAATCTGACTAGTACAAAATATGGCATTTTCTTGAAAATTAAAACTTTGACAAAGGTGCCATTTTTTTTCTTTCATTTTTAATTACAACATTCTTACACTTTTGAGTTTTTTTCTTCATCTTTGGGCAACTGTTTCAGGTTTAAATTCAAAGAAAATATACACAAGAAATACTTATAAAAATGGATTACAATAATTTGAAGGACAGCAAAATAATAAACACAATCTCTCCTTATTCCATAATTATTGCAAACATAACTTAAACAAGAAAATATTTCATATTGTTATCATAACAGTAGTATGTTAGCAATGTATCCATTTACAACAATGGAATGAAGTAAAAACAACAACAACATCTGACAGTCAGACAGACAGACAGTGTACTCGACAATTCCCAGTGCCTAACTGTAAAACAAGAGTCTGAATATTGCAGAAAATGTCTATGTTCAGATCAGTAAAATTCATTAAAAAAAAAAACAACCCAACCTAGAGTTATAAAATATCATCATCAGGTGTTGACTTGCAGCAATGAACTTGAAGACACCAGTGAAGTTTCAAGTGAAAGTGAAATAAGGAAAAATGTAGGACAAAAATTTTACATATTCACTATGACAATGACAGGGTATATAGAACATCCTGTCACCTTAAGTGCAATAACTGGTTAACTGAAGGACTTAACACATTACTGCACTAAGATGGAGATTTTATTATTTTCTGAATAGTTTGGCTAAAAAAATCATTCAAGAATGAACAAGTAACTCTCACAGAATGGAAGACAAAGACATAAGGGATAATTAACATGATAAGGAAGGTTGTTTTCATGATACAGAGGAGAAACAAATCATGAAAGACAAAAGTATCAAACCTGAATGTAGAATGTACATTGAATTTCTTTAACTTGTTATATGTATATGATAACCTGATAAGATAAATGTCAAAAGAATATAAGAAATCACAGAGATATCCCAATGTCCCTTGGACATTGTTAAAACATAGCCTAACTATGATGACAAGTAGGAAAATCTAATTTTACTCTCCTTGACCTTGACCCAATGACCTAAAACTAGTATATGGATAGAAAGTCAGTGACCTTCACCCCATGACCTGAAACTAGTATTTGGAAAGAAAATATTACAAACTGTTTATCATAACAGTAGTATATTAGTAATTTATCAATTTACAACTGAATGAGAAAAAGAGGTCAATGAAAAAAAAAATCATGAAAATAAATATATCGGTCAATAAAAGATGCTGTAATTAGAAATGGTGTAAAGGAAGAACCAAGAGGAAGAACAAACCAACAAACAAACAATTTGGGAGCATATGTGGCCTTGACAAAAAGGTAATAAATTATGTAGCCTTGACAAAAACAGGTAATCAAATTAATATACATTCTTAGTTGAAAACAACATAATGTTCTATCACAGAATGTAAAACTATTGCAAAGTCAAGTTAACATTTTATCAAGAAAATCGCTGTTAATAATGGAGTCATACTTTACTGTATCAAGCCAGTAAAATACCTAATAATGCTTGTCATGTAGATATTCATGTGTCAAATACTAAAAATTATTCCCACCTCTTAAATTATTCCTAATTCTTAATTGAAAACATAAAACATTTGTATAACGTGTGATAAATATTAATAATTAACTATCATATTGAAACTTGCTTGTCATGAAAAAATGTCTATTGCGGTGGAAACATACTTTATTGTATCATAAAATCAAGTTGTATGGAACCTTTGTCCACAGTAGAAAAGCAAATATTTGTAGTCTCACCTCATTTTACACTGTCTATTCCACAATTTTTGGCTTTTTGATACTGAATACCTTTAAAATAATAATGCACTGTTCCAAATTCAAAGCTGCAAGTCCATTACGTAATTTTTGTGATGTAAGTGTTAATGTCTTTACTAGACATAAACAAGAGGACCATGATGACCCTAGATCACTCATCTGAGTCACATTGCTAGAAAAGGTCACAATTTTTAAATGATGTAACTAATAAGTCATACCGGGTGTGTCATTTTCTGCCCTAGCAGAATTATGAATAAAATGCTAATAGAGATTTGCTAGTAAACACAACATGCAAATATCTAACCTCTAGGCATCGTAGTAGACTTAATTGCGTATTATTATGTCTTAGTATAAACTAAGTAACCACAGGGGTGGGGCCAATTTTTACCTCAGGGTCATGACGCTACATGCTTAATTTCTAAGCTGTAGACACTGTAGTTTCTGAGGACAATATTTTTTAGAGATTTCCATTTTTTAAGTCTATTTTTTGCTCTTGTGACCTATATTATGCATTATACCGAAACTTTTTATAACACCTTTGCAGATGACCACCTAAGAATCATTCTTGTGAAGTTTGGTGAAAATCCACTATGTGGTTAAAGGATACTGCTTAAAGAATTTTTGGATAATAACAGAAAATAGATTACAAATGATGGAGACATTGCCATCACAAAAGCTCATGCGGTCAGGTGAGCTAACAGGGTCAAATTTTTTAAGGCTTAAATGTATATTATTGATTAAAACAATTAACAGCATAGAAAATGCTATGAATAACATATAGATAAGTGACATGGCTACTCAACAAGAGAAAAGGCTAGTTTACAACAGACAGACATGGCTAGTTTTTACATGTTTATCACTTTTTTAACTAGTATGGCTTTATATTGTACAATTTAAAAAATATGTTTTACTCTCTGTTTCACTAATTATCTAACGACTAGTCAATCACATTCAACCAATTAACAATAGACATAACAATTAACACATAGACATATAGCCATTTTCACAATAGACTCAGCCAAAGTAAAACTAATTTATGGCTAAATAATCAGTTGTCATGGCCAAAATCTTGAAACGGTCATGGCCAAATAAACAATAAAAACCATTGTAACAATAAACCGAATGAAAAAAGCCATTTATGTTGACGATTAAACTATTCAACAGGGACGATACAGACACCAGGACTACTGAACAACAAATTTCGCCGACATTTACAATCTTATAATGGAAACAATATAGCTACTGATTGGCACCAAATGTTTATACAGTTAGATTTTAAATAGACATAAAATATTTTGAAAAAAATTATTCTACAGACAAAGGACACAAGACACTACTGACATTGTGATACTATACATAGTCAAAATATACAGAACTTTGGGCTACACTTAAATTAAAGAATTAAGAAAAATGATAACCAATTAAAGGAACAGGTTTAATCCTATTTTACTCAATTGAACAGGCTTAACAACTGTTAATCAACTGAACTGGCTAAACCAATTTCAATCCATACAATGAACAGGCTACATCACTGTTAATCAACTGAACAGACTAAACCAATGTTATTCAAATTTAATGGATTTTAATCAACTTAAAAGGCTAAACTAATTTTAATCAATCAAACAGGTTTAACCTATGTTTACTTAATTGAACAGACTAAACCCATGCTGATAAAAACGGATATTGTTAATCAATTGTACAGGATAAATCAATGTAAATGTAAAGCTATTGACCATAAAAACCAATGTTAATCAATTGTAGGAACATGCTTAATGTTAACTGAATGAAAAAGCTTAACAGATGTTGAGCAATTGGAGGAGCAGGTTTAACCATTGTTTATCAATTGGAAGTTAGAGTGAAGGAAAAGGCTTTACCCATGTTAATCTACTGACTAAATAATGCTTATACTATATAAATCAATGGAAAGAACAGGATAAACCAATGTTAATCAAATAAAGGAACAAGTAAAGTCAACGATACTCTATGCTCTCCTATTGTAGTTAACTGTCTGAAATAATCACCTTATAGTGTCAGTAAGAACTGCGGGCCTTTTCCACCATCATAGAGGCAGTCAGACCAAATTTTATACTACACGCAATTCCAATTTATTACTTATATTGAAATCCTTCAAAATATTAATGTAGATTTCAAGCTTCAAATCCTGCAAAAAATATTTTTGGCTTCGGCTATAATGATCATTTTAGTATATCAGACTGTTTTACCAAAATAAGGAATACTGAATGATGGTGAATGTTTTTGGATTGTGAAACAGTGTCAAACATGAACGTGTTTGGTAACTACTAAATGCCCCCGGCCCAGATGTCAGTAACAATTTTTTTAAAAAAGGGTTTACTTATTCACACAGTTATGGTCTGAAAAATTGCCAAGGAAAAAGTCAGTTATATAACTTGACAGAGTCATGAACTTTTCATATTCTGAAAAAAATATGTAGGCATGTCATTGCTATTTGATGAAGTTGAAAAATATTCAATTTGCCAATAAAAAATTATCAAATATTTACAAATGCAACCTTGAAACCATTGACTAAAAACTCCACAAAAACTTAAAGGACCACCTGAAGTATGTTTGTATTAATTAGTAAGTGTGTAAAATACGAAGCCATTGGTACTGGTAGAACTTTAGATAAATACAACTTGCTGGTTAAGGTTAACCTCCTACAGACAGACAAATTGACAAACCAATGGACAGACCAATGGTTAAATTGCTATATGCCAAAGGGCAAAAAAATCAAAATCTTATAAGTTGCTTGCACTATTTTCTTTCAAATATTTTAAGGTCATATATGTACTCAGGTTTTAGTATACAGAATTATCAAAACACTCTGTGAAAAAAATTTGGCAGTACATAAAATTCCTGCCTTGACTTAAACCTTTAATTATAACTCTGTTCACTTAACTCCTATTTAAGTGTACTGTTAAGTAAAATAAATAAAAGTAAACACCAAAAAAAAAACCATTGCTTTTACACAAAAAAAAAATCAAACAAAATTTTTTTATGCACCATTAAATTATGCAAATTAAATAATTAAAATGACACTGATAACATGTAATACATATGATAAAAGTATAAGACATTATCTCAAAAATATATTATTGACCGGTGAACAATGCAGACTAAATTACAAAATAACAAAACTATCTATGCGCATCTAATGACATTTTTGGTCGTGGTGACGTACCCCTGGCTCGAACTGCCGCCCCGAAGCTTGGCTGTACTGGCTGTAAAAGAGTATTTCCCTGATCGCTAACAGTTATCAAAGTTTGGGGACCAGCCCCACTCTCGGGGCGAGACACGCCCGGGATGTCAAATTGTCCGCTTAATGTTGATACATTCGAAGCTCTATGCTTTGATCCACGTTTTTCAGATGTTGGTAGACTAAAGCATGTTTTGCGTAACAAGAAAACGGCGTTTCCACTCGCAGGTCTCGATCCAACGGGACTCATTAGAAATTCTAAATGTGCTGCATATCCACTTGTCATAAACTACAAAATAAAAGAATAAAACTGTTATAAAAGATAAGGTTAAATCTCTTGGTGTACTAGTGTTTATGTTTAAGTTCTATACCAAACTATAGCTATAGATTTAGAAAATCCAGTACATCTTTACAGGACATAAAACAGTTAGAATTGATAGGGCAGTAAACTTTAAACTTTTTCAAGTGTGTGTCAATATATATTTAGAGTGTTACCAAGATTTTATATATTTTGGCTATGTGGCCTAGTTTTTGACCCTAGAAGTTCCATATTCCAAATTGACCTTGAAACCACCAAAACAACCTTTCTGTCTAATTTCCAGGATATTTGGATAAAAACTATAGCCTCTAGAGTTTTAACAAGGTTTTTCTATATTTGGGCTGTGTGACAGTTTTTGATCCCAGTTGACCCATATTTAACTTGACCTAGAAATAATCAAAACAACTTTTCTGACGAATATCAAGAATATTTGGATCAAAACAGTAGCCACTAGCATGTTAACAAGATTTTTCTCTTTTTTTTTTGCTCCTGTGACCTAGTTTTTTAATTGAGTTGATTAATGTTCGAACTCCTCCGAGCAATTATTTAGACAAGCATCCTGACCAAGTTAGATGACGTATGAGGCAAAAATGTGACTGCTTGAGTGTGAAAGAACTAAATGTGGATGGACGACAGACATTCAACTATCATAAAAGATTACCCCTGAGCTAACTCAGGTGAGCTAAAAAATTTTAAACTGAGAAACAGCAGACTGTATAAACAGAAAATAGGCTAGCATGATTCCTTACTGACAGCATAAGCCAACAGAAATAAAAATCTCTGAGAACATTCGTCTCTATTTGAATATGTAGGTCAGTAGGCTACAATGGCTATTACAGCCTAGAAGCCATGATAAATAGGCTATGCCATCAGTTTAATGTCAGGCTACCTCAAATAAAGTCTGGCCAGACCTTAACTATGTCCCCTGACTGCTTCATTTTAACATCTTTATCATTAAATCTAGTAAAGTAACAATGGAGAGTGTAAAAGTTTAAAAACAAAAACAATTCCATGAAATGAATCAGCAATTTCAACAAAACAATTTTTTCAAATTAATTTCCAAGAAACTATGAAGTTATAAAACCTACGAAAAAAGTTCTGCCCACATACTGCTGTTATATTACCAGGAAATAATCAGCTTAACATTGCATGGTATATGGTTGTTATTAAATTACTCTCAAAAGAAAATATCAGCATACACGGTAAGTTATTACATTACCCCCAAAGGATATAATATGAACATTCATTCAAAGTCCAACATATCAGTTTATAGTCAATTAAAGTCTTGCATGAGGAGTGTCTATAAATAACATGATATAAATGACGCACGCTAGCAAATTGTTGAAGTTATCAGGAAGTCAACATGGTCGTTAGTCACGTTCAAACAATATTTTACGATCACACAGATAATTAGAAAATTAATCTACTTCAGATGCCTTTTTTGGAAATATGTTATGCAACTGAGCATGCATGCTTCTTAATTAAGATTGAAGATTTAATAAAAGCAGCACAATGACATGTCATGTTAAACTATATAAGGTTATTTCCATCTTCTCACCTTAGTGCAATAACTGAATAACTTCTATTTAATTTAGAAACACTTATTACATTATTGCACTAAAGTGACGATTTATGGATTTTATAGAGTTCTGTACAATACAGAGATTTTTGCAGATAATTACCCAGCTAAACTTTTATTTTATAAGACAAGTCATTAGGTAGGTATAATACTAGTTTTTCAGCCGAGTTCAAGTTCATATATACCCACATTGTAACGAACAGTAAAAGTAAATTGGTCTATAATCAAAGGTATGTAATACAACAAATAAATATGTAGATAGGTTTTAGTATTAGACATAACAAATAATCACTAAAGAATTATACATGGATGTTGTTAGCAAGTGTGAAATACATGATCCGATTTTACATAATATATTTATATAGCAGAAAATAAAATGTTCAATAACAAAGTATTATTTTTCATCATGTAAGTGCTCATACAAAATCACTTGGAACTTTATCAATGTTTTTTTGTTTTTCAAGAAATATTTCATAATATTTCATTGTTTTTTTTATCAATATTTGAAATACTTATGGAAAATGTGTCTATCATAGACCAATCCACTTTATACCATATGAATTTTAAATTTCTGTTCCAGGCATTGGCACAGTTTTCTATATTCGTCATGTATATTAATTATACAGAATTTATTTTAGTTTAATCATGTAGAAATTCTAAGACACACTCTTAAATTTGTTTCTGGAAGTTAAAGTTCAAGCTCTAAACTGCCGGCTACTCATTTTTGTATTGTGACACTGAACTCCCCTGAACTACATATGGACTGTTCCAAATTCAAAGTTAGGCAAGTCCTTTGTTAAAAGGTGGCCTTTTGTTTTATTTAAAGACATTTTTTATTACATTTGATTCATCATGGCAAATTTCTTTATCCACATCACTTACTGTAGCAAGATTCTGTTGTTTCTTGTTGGATTTACCCACTATAAATATCTGTTCTTTAGACAAGCCCAGGTCTCTGTATCCATTAACATCTTTACTTGAACCATACCCTGCTCGGAACTTCAACTGCGCCTGTGAAAAAAAAAATGTTGGTTTTTTAAATACTACTTTACTGGTATACAGAAATCTTGGCACTACTCCTTTTCCAAATTAATGTATCTTAATGATCAAATTTTACACTCTATCAAAGATATAATTCCCATTCCATTTATATTAAACATTATTTTTAAATTCAGAAATTTATTTCATTTATAACTTATAACAGACTATTTGATGTCATAACACATTTTCCAGTAGATGACTTAAGTACAAATTTACTGTGAATTATATTAAATAATGGTGCTATGTGGCAAACTAAAAAACATAGAATAAAACCATTAAAGGAATGAAATGAACAGAAATTTTATTTTTTTTATGTTAATCATATTTCTGCCATGACTTGGCAACTTATGAAAATATTGCATTCAGTATTCACTTGCTGAAATACATATTTTGATCTTAAACTGTAACAAACAAATATTTTTTTTAACAAGAAAATATTACATCTGGTGTTCACTCAGTTAAATTTTGATCTTACACTTAACAATCAAATATTCTCTAAACATGAAAATATTAAATCTAGTGTTGACTTGGTTAAATGTATTTTTATCTTACACGGTAACAAACAAATATTTTCTTAATATGAAAATATTAAATCTTGTGTTCACGCGGTTGAATATTTTTTATCTTACCCACTGTAACAAACAAATATTTTCTTATCATGAAAACATTAAATCTAGTGTTCACTAAGTTCAATATATTTCGATCTTACACAGTAAAAAACAAATATTCTAATAGCATGAACATATAACTTCAGGTATTCACTCAGTTAAATATATTTTTACAAACAAACAAACGTTCTCTTAACATAATCATACCTCTGACTGTATTGTCTTAAGATGATTAAATTTCTGTCGTAGAGGATCCTTAGAGAATCCATCCATGAAAGCCACCATGCCATGTGGAAAGTTGTGCTGGGCCAGCCAGGCTACAACTTTATTATGTTGCATGTCCGGTCTAGCAGTCACATACAGGATTAAATAGCCGAGCTCCTGCCAATGTCTGAGAAATAAATAATGTTTAAAGCTGCATGCCTCCAGATAAGCCAAAATATTTCAAGAAAATCAATCTTGAGAAAAATGTTATGAGATTCTAAGAAATGTAAAAAGATTCAAGAGAAAAGTAATAATTTCCATGTTATGTGCAATAAATGTCCCATTTTGCTATATTTCTTACACTATTTCTACTGTGCTACTAACTCAGTACGGGGTGTCTTTGCATATTTTGACCTCTTTTTGTTAAATTTAATACTCTACTACCATTAGGTCAACTGAAAATAAAGTTGTTTTTTTCTCTCTCTATACTGAACAAGTATTCAAACTCAGTTCAAATGAACTTTATACCCCAATACAGTGTCCAAATATAAATTCAGTTAAAACGGCCTTTATACAACACAAATACTGTACATGTATTAACTCAGTTCTAATGACCTTTAACCCTGAATACAACTTTTTATAAGGACTCACCTGACAACGTCAACAGCTCCAGGTTTAACTTTTGGATCTTTACCCATTATAGAAACACTGGCTGTAAATGAGCCGTCAATACTGAATATTATCGTCTCTGTTCTAGGAGGTAGAACAGCTAAAAACAAGTCGGTGGTTGTGTGGTCTACCCTGTAAAACATGAGAAAATAAATTATTATCAATATAAAGGTATGCTAGAAATATGTATGAATGCAAATTATAAAGGGGACTTAACAAATCTGAGAATAAGTCTGTGAAAGTAAATTATAAACTGCTGATAGAGAAGGACATTGCAGAAACATTAGAAAACATATAGGATGTGGATATTTAGGTTTATGATAGTTCATGTATTACCTATCCTGCATTTATAAATGTAACTAAGGGGTGCATGTTAGACAGCTTATTAATTTCTGTGCCTGTTAAGCAAGAGCTTTGATGTTTGCAAATGGAAAAATTTAGTAAATATCAATGCTAGAGTAATAGCTCTTGGTCAAAAGCAAGAGTCTTGCAGTCCAATAAGGAGAATAATTCATAAATCAAGAGCCATGTAATTCTTGAACAGCACTGATTTAATAAATATCAGTGTTAGAGTAAAAGCTTTTGGTCAAATGCAAGAGCCTTGCAGTCAACAAAGGGAAATAATTTAGTTAATAGAGTTATGGATCTTGGTCAATGACTTACAATTAGCACCAAAGGCAGGACTGTACGGTGTTCCGTTTGGACACGTTTGGACAATCGTGACATTTTATTTATTCTGTACCCGCGATGCACGATGGTACGATGGTGAAAACGCGATGGCACGATGGTACGATGGTGAAAACACAATGGTACGATGGTGAAATCACGATGGTACGATGGTGAAATCGCGATGGCGCGATAGTATGATGGTGAAAACGCGATATTACATCGCGTTTTCACCATCGTACCATCGTGATTTCACCATCGTACCATCGCGGTTTCACCATCGTACCATCGCGCTTTCAACATCGTACCATCGCGTTTTCACCATCGTGCCATCGCGATTTCACCATCGTACCATCGCGTTTTCACCATCGTGCCATCGCGATTTCACCATCGTACCATCGCGCTTTCACCATCGTGCCATCGCGTTTTCACCATCGTGCCATCGCGATTTCACCATCGTACCATCGCGTTATCACCATCGTGCCATCGCCTTCCGGTGGACATGCGCATTGTACATCTTTATCAACAATGGATGAATGCATAACTATGTATTATGTGAGAGGCTATACGTATCGAGACATTTTAAATATAGTGAGGCTTAAAACGGGATTTGATCTCACTATTAATCACAGACTATTTAACCCATTACGTTATATACACGCCTTTTAACGCCTTTTTCCCCCCCCCCCCCTTTTGTTGTCTCAATTGGTGAAAAAATGCCTTATTTAGGCCCCCAACACTTGTTTTTGTTTGAGAAATGTTGTTAAAAAAGTGACCTCTTTTTCGGCGCGGCCCCCCAACCAAAAGATACCTCAGGGGGTTGCCAGAAGGGGGATGTGCCCCATTCTGTTTGGGGGGTTTGAAGGTTTTAAAATGATTGAATCTTAATACACAACACTTATTAAATAGTCTGTGATTAATAGTGAGATCAAATCCCGTTTTAAGCCTCACTATATTTAAAATGTCTCGATACGTATAGCCTCTCACATAATACATAGTTATGCATTCATCCATTGTTGATAAAGATGTACAATGCGCATGTCCACCGGAAGGCGATGGCACGATGGTGAAAACGCGATGGTACGATGGTGAAATCGCGATGGCACGATGGTCAAAACGCGATGGCACGATGGTGAAAGCGCGATGGTATGATGGTCAAATCGCGATGGCACGATGGTGAAAAGGCGATGGTACGATGGTGAAAACGCGATGGTACGATGGTGAAAACGCGATGGTACGATGGTGAAATCACGATGGTGAAAACGCGATGTAACATCGCGTTTTCACCATCGTACTATCGCGCCATCGCGATTTCACCATCGTACCATCGTGATTTCACCGTCGTACCATCGTGTTTTCACCATCGTACCATCGCGTTTTCACCATCGTACCATCGTGCATCGCGGGTACAGAATAAATAAAATGTCACAATTGTCCAAACTTGTCCAAACGGAACACCGTAGGACTGTGTAAAGTTTAGGATGAATATTCTCTGTGGTTTTGGAAATAGAACAAGCATGCAAAACCTTAACCAGGAATTTTCATTTCCGCAAAAATGTTTAAATTCAACTAAAACAAAAATTTTTTTATCTTGGACTTTGATGCACAAAATTATGATTAGAATGTTGCATGTAAAACTTCTACCTCAACTGACAAAAGAGTGAGTAGAATAATTCAGCTAAATTTTAAACAGCCATATAAAAAATACAAATAAGTACACAAGACATGAATACTTTTTTTATTAACCCATATCACACTAAATATCTTAAATGCACTCCTCCATCTTTAAATCTGGACAAAACCATTCATCAACTTTAGGGAAATTTTCAAATGGAGTACTGACCAAATAGTGAACAGTGCAGACCATGATAAGATGAGATGGATGTGACAACTGATCTTGGTCTGCACTGGTCATATTGCTAAATTCACTTGCTGCCAGTAAGGTTGAGATTTAAAGAGCACTTGATTAAATGAAAGCAATTATGGGAAACTGTTAATGAATACTGTCAACATTTTATAGTTGCCTCAGTGTAGTAATGGCTCAACTGTCCTATCAAAATGTAACAGACGTTAACACGCTACTGCACTAAGGAAACGTTATCGAAGACTTGTTTCAACACTTTTATGCAGAAAATTAATAGTACGGGTAATGCATTATGCTGTATAATCAGAGATATATTAAATCTACATTTAGCGCCATATACTGAAAAATAAAAGCATTACTATTTCTAATACTTTGCATATTTTATATAGACATGTGCATGTACATTGTTTATTAATAAAATGTGTGCAGAGATAAAATATTCTACAATCGCTAAAATAATTTACGTTTTCCTGCTAAAGTTCTGTCCCCATCTGCAAAAATACAAAAACCTTTCCAGACACTAGACATTTTCAATAGGAACCATTGTTTAGGTCTAGACTGGAAATTTTTTACTGTATATGGCTTGCACATTATGCTTTTAAGAGCCTACTTTATATCTATCAAAGTATAAAAAAAATTGAAAGGGTGTAATTTTCCATACAAATATACATGTACATATAAACAAGAGGGTCAAGATGGCCTTTGATCGCTCACCTGACCCAACAAGCATTCTGACTAAGTTTCATGACAGGTGAGTAAAAAATGTGACTACAAGAGTGTTAACAAGGATTATCCATATTTGAGCAGTGTGACCTAGACTTTGACCCCAGGTGACCCATATTCAAACTTGACCTAGAAATCATCAAAACAAGCTTTCAACCAATTTCCAGGATATTTGGATTAAAAAAGTAAACACTAAAGTGTTAACAAAATTTTTCTATTTTTAGTTCCTGTGACCTAGTTTTCATCCAAGATGACCCATGTTCAAAGTCATCCAAGCAATTATCTAGACAGGCATCTTGACCAAGTTTGATGATAATTGAGTCAAAAATGTAACCACTAGAGTTTTAACAAGGTTTTTCCATATTTGGGCAGTGTGACCTAGTTTTTGAACCAAGGTGACCCATATTCAAACTTGACCTAGAAATCATCAAAACAAACTTTTAGACCAATTTCCAGGATATTTGAGTGAAAACAGTAGCCACTAGAGTGTTAACAAGATTTTCTATTTTTAGCTCCTGTGACCTTGTTTTTCATCCGAGATGACTGATGTTTGAACTCATCTGAGCATTTACCTAGACAAGCATCCTAACCAAGTTTAATGATAAATGAGTCAACAAGAGCATGTTTGAACAGGGTGATGCTCCCGAATAGGTTTTGGACACAGAAAAGTACACCTCTTGTACTTTCAGAGTTATGTCCAGGACAAAGTTCAAAGTGCAATATTTCTAAATTAGGGAAGGCTGAGTTACTATTCTTTGCACTGTACTTCTATTCAATGAGATCTATCTACCTACTTAGTTTCTTATTGAAACCTCTTGTCGTTTCACAGTAATGTCCCGGATAAAGTTCACAGTGAAAAAATTGAACTAGAACTCTGCGAGTCGGATGTGTCGCCTTGACATACCGGTACTTAATGCATAAATTTGTCAGTAAGTCTAGTGATCATGTTGATATACAGTCAAACTTTGATCGCTCTAACTCCGAGGGCCTGTGCAAATTTGTTTAAGAGATCTGTAGTTCGAGCCAACCAAGGTTGAACTATAATTACATAGAACATAGGCTTAAAGGTTTTCCAGCTTACATTGGTCAAATGATAAATACGTCAATATAATTGTTTGTTAGTACATCTGTTTGTCAAATATGTCATATTAAGAATTATTATCCTATTGAAAACAGTATTAACAGTACACTGTGTTAATCTATATATTCATACATATTGTAATTGGTTGAGTTTGATTGGGCGATCATTATCCAAACTGTGAACAATGTTTAAAATATAATTATATGTTTATTATGGGATGAATTTTATTTTAAACAATGAATTGATAAAATATCAAAAAACAACATTTTACAGCAGCATCTATTTGTAGTCATTTACTAAAATAAACACACATACAAGTATCATTCTATACATAGATTACACTGTTACAATTCATGTTACATGAACCACGGTTGTAATTAAAGCCGTCCGGGTAAAAGTCATTTATTTATTGACTTTTGCACATTTCAGGAGTTATTTTCTTTTTATCGTTACTAAAGACGGGCAAATGAACAATAATTATTGTATTATAACAAACAAATCTGTTACAACACCTTTTATTTTGTATCAATTAACCTTAATTGTCTTTGTCATGATCACAAGGTGTTAAAAACATTGTGTCGCCGGCTGTCATATTATTTAGAACATAACAACCCGCAACTTTTGTTGTCTGTTTGTGTTAGACCGAAAAAGTGTGATTTACACTATTTTTCTGCCTAAAGGACCAGAGATCAGGTTCGAGTTTGAGCCATGGGTGATCGAGCGATCCTAGTTAGAACAATATATATTATATAGGAATTTTGCCTAGTTCGAGGGAAGGGAGGTATTCGAGCGAACGAAGTTTAACTGTATGTTTGCTTTACAAAAACTTGACGTTGCAAACGTTTTGATGTTTACTATTATCTTGTCAAATGTGTCAATTGCTAATGAAAATGATAGGTAAATGAACTTCTTTAAACAATTTAGTGGTGAAATATCTGATGATTATTCTTTAAATGAATTTCTGTAAGAACGGTTGTAAATGAAAGTTAAAATTTCATTGTGATGACACTGGCTAACTGATGATCGTGATGTTCGAATAAAATGTAACTTAAGCAAAGTATTTTAACTTGCACTGTATGCAGTTAGATATTATTAGAGATCAATATTTTTTCTCAACTGTACACATGTTAATTTATACTTCAGTGAAAAAAAAACAAAAAAACATCCGCATAAACCTTATTTAGTTCATATTAACTAGGACTCTGCAGTCAAGAAATATTTTTGGGGGGAAATATTGAAATTGATGAATTATACTAGTGATTTACTAAAAAAATGTTTTAGTTTGTTTTTTATTTCAGCGCAATGTCACCTGGCTGCAGTGACTAAATCAAAACAAGCTACACAAAACCTATAATAAAGAAGAGAAAAAACATTAGACTGCAAGCATTCTGTTCATTTAACAACATGTGTAATTTTGCTGTTCATTGTTACTAAAAAGTTACTTAATAAACTTTTACGTACATGCATTGTTTTTGTCAACCTAATGTTGGGTCAATCATAAAACTGATAAGAATTTTAAATGAAAATCAACTCTTCCCAAAATGCAATTTGTATGCAGTCTTGCCCTTGTTCACCAAAACCTAATAATTATTATAAATGGCGAAAATGATACAAATTTTTAGGTCCTGTAATTGTCACCAAGGTCCTGTTAAATGTTGGATTTCACAGGACCTATTGTCCTGTAAGATCATTTCAAGTTTCACTAGGACTGTGAATATATAAGCTCTAAGCAATGTACTTTCAGACAAGAGGACTTTTAAGACATCTATAATATTTAAATCAATGTTAACTAAGTGACCACAGGTGTATGACTTATATAACTTAGAGTACTACATGCCAAATATATTAGCTCTTGTGGTTTCACAAAGAAAACTTTAATCTATTTCCGATATAATTTATTATAAACTAAGTTGCATGATTTGTATAACTTTTGTAAAGGACCAAAATATTAATGATGTTGCATCGTGCCAAATATCTAAGCTCTGGGCATTGTGAGAAGAAGTTCTTCCAATGATTTTTTTTACGATACAAGTCTGTATAATTATTGTCACCTCTGGGTCAGAAGACCAAATTTGACCCCCCAGGTGGGCATAATTAATAAAACTGTATTTCATATCTGAGTTCTGGGCATTGCAGTTTCATAAAAGAAGACTTAAATATGTTTTCTTTTTTAAGGCTGTATAAAATAAAAGACCCCATGTCACTTTAATTGTCACAAGGTAATGCTAAGTTATGGGCATTGCATTTTTAGAGAGGAAGATTTTTATGACATTTATACTATACAAGTCTATGTTAACTAAGTGACCCCAAAGGTGGGCAAGGGGCATGACTGATATAACTTATGTAGAAATTTACTAAACAGTGCTACAAGCTCTTGGTATTGAAATTTCACAAACTAAGTCTTTAATGTTTTTTCCTATTCAAGTCTTAATAAACTTAACAGCCCTCATTTTGACCCAAGTGACATGATTTATACACAATCGGAGTGCCTTGGTTTAAATGTTAAAAGGTAAGCAAAATAAGTCTATCACTCTTTAGTATATGAAAAATTAAGCCAACCACATGAAGTATATTTTCAAATTTTAATAGGTCATCGTTCAAATGAAGAAAAATACGAACAATGACTTGAATAAGAAGTTAGTTATTTAATACCAACACTGACAATATGAGACCAGGAAGTTATCTGTGTTAACTTATAAAACAGTGTTACTGGTTAAGACCATTAGAAATAGATAGCGCTATATAAAAAGCAATATTGACTAAAAAAACTTTGGAAATTTAAGTACAACCTTGTAAATGTTTTCAGAAAATACTTAACAATTTTATTAAGATATATTGGTTTTAATGAAAAATTACCAACTTGATATATCTAGGACGAGCTCATGGCTAACAAAAATTAGAATTTTATTCATGGGAATTACAGTGTTTATAAAATAACTAGTTTATATTCATGTGGATAGAAAACAGTGATAATTTGCTATAAATAAGGCATATTTCCTACCTATGCCTTAGTTTGTTTTGCCTTAATTTGTTTTTAATAAAACCTGCCAGTATTGCTGCTTAACAAAGTTTAGATAACAAGCATATTTGAAAATAGGCTTAAGATACTCAAAACAAAAACATTCAAAAGACAAAAAGATGGAAAATTCAGTAAAAAACAAGCATGGACAACAAATGAATGAGTTTAAAGAACAAAAACCTGAGATCGGAGACTCAGCCAAAAAGCCTGGAAAACAAAATAGTGATGTAGGATTCCAAATTGAGAAGAACGAAAACAAAAGCAAAATAAAATGCCAAATCAAAGAGTCTGCACAAGTAACTGATGAATCTGATACAGACAATGAAGATTTAATAAAAATCACGACTGAGGAGACTGAAGAACCAATACCTCCCAAAATACTGATCACGACTCACAGAATGAGTTCTTCAGGAATGGATGAAATTAAACATACTCACAGAATGAGTTCTTCAGGAATGGATGAAATTAAACACACTCACAGAATGAGTTCTTCAGGAATGGATGAAATTAAACATACTCACAGAATGAGTTCTTCAGGAATGGATGAAATTAAACATACTCACAGAAAGAGTTCTTCAGGAATGGTTGAAATGAAACATGCCCACAGAAAGAGTTCTTCAGGAATGGAGAAAATGAAACATACTCACAGAAAGAGTTCTTCAGAAATG